GGGGAATTGGGGATAACTCCAGTCACCCCCATGTGCAGCTGAGACAGCATTAGGATTGGGCCCGAAATAGCAGTTTTTGCAGGGGAAGTACAGAGCAGCAGAGGTGGCCCATGGTGGGCTCTGGCCCCAGGGCCCAACTCTGTGGGTGGAGCTGGGGGTCGTTCTCTTGAGGCCAAAGCAGAGCGAGTACCAGGGTCAGTGGGGTGGCACAAGGCTGCTTCACGTCAGCTGTGGGACTGGGCCAGCATGCCAGGAATCATGGGTTTGCTGGGAGTCACAGGTTCCAGGCAGTGCCCTTAGGGGGGTGGCGGGTGCAGGAGCAGCCCCTTCTGCTGCCTGTCCCCAGGACTCTCTGCCCAGTGCAAGGGGCCTCTTCACCCAACTACCAGCTGCTCCCTCCCTAACCCCCTGGCCTTTCCATCCAGCCAGTGTCCTGCTGCCAGGCCCAGCCTCCCTGCACCTCTCGGGCTTTGCCTTGCTGGCTCCTGCTGCTCCTGGGGATGCCTCTGGGAGGCACAACCAACCAGCACAACATCAAGGGCCAAACCCCGGTGGGTGGAAAAGGCGTGACGGCCCTGGCCTGCGGCTGCTGGGAATTAAAATCATTCCGCCCTCCAGGGCCTGTATCCCAACCCAGGCAGATCAGGGTTGAGACACTGGCGGGCACAAACGTGGCTGGACCCTGCTGAGGACCCAGCCTCCAGAGGATCTGTGACTCCCTGAGCTCCTGGGCCCCAGGTTCTCCCCCGCTGCAGGCCTTGGCTGCTTCCTGGGCAGGATGCGGTCAGCATCCTGGTTAGGGCTGTGTCGCCGCACGGATCTTGGTACAGGGCACAGCTGCACAGATGGGGCAGGGACACTGAAGCTGCCTCTGCTTGTGCCTGTTGGGTGTTTTTGTCTGCCCGGGCAGGGGCTCCTGGCACTAGAGCCCACCTGGCGCCAGAGGTGATGGGCACTGAGGCCAGGGCCTGGATGGCCTGAGCTTTGGGACTTAATTTGGTGCCCTGAGGTTGAGTCCAGAGGGCGGGAATCCCATTGCCGCTGGCCCCCCGTGGATCCAAACTGCAGTTGCTCTGGGCTGATGTGAACTGGGACACTTGCTCTGCTGTCTGGGACGTGCCCCAGTGAACCCCTCAGTAAAGGGGAATGGGGATTGTATTGAGCAAGGGCAGAGATTCCCCCAGAGACCACTGGCGGAGAGGGCAGGCCAGGCCGAAGTGCCCACACCCTGTCCCATGCTCCCCATTCTCCCACCCTGCCCCTGGGCTGCAGGAGCCTGCTAGCGGCAGCCTGGCTATGAGCCCCCTTTTGCCAGTGCCTCATGCACTCGAGGGCCCACACTCAGTGGGGATCTTGGCACCATTGTAGATGGGTGTTTTGGAGGGTGGATGGGGTGGGGGGAGTCATTGATTCCCTTCACTGTATCACTATATGGCACAGGGTGGCCATCAGTGGGCCAGACTCCCAATTGGCTGTGAGATTGGGGCCAGGCTGTTCTTCAGTGCCTCAGTTTCCCTGTCTAGAAAGCCCAGGTGCAACCCCTCCTGTCTTGAGAATGACCCAAGACACTGGGTTTCCCCGGCCCAACTCCAGACGTCAGCCATTGTGCTGGCAGCTGCGGCGTAAGCAGGGAGCTATATTTATACTGTCCGGGAAGGAGAAGGATGCGGGGGGGAATGAGCCGCAGCTATAAATACTCCAGAAAGTGTCCTGGGAATTGCTCGCAGCTCTGGGGAGATGGAGGAGGGCTCTGGAGCTCAGGCAGGGGGAAAAGGTGCATGTCGAGGTTGGGGGAGATTGAGACCAGATAGGAGTCAGGATCTGACAGCTGACCTCAGCCTGGCCCTGAGGATGCAGTCATGAGGCAGCATGCCTAGTGGTGAGAGCCCCAGACCTGGCTGGGCTCTGATCTGTTTTCTGAACCCATGCCTCAGTTTCCCTTTCCCCTGTCTGGACTGCCAGCTCCGTGGGGCAGGGACTCTCATGGCTTGTGCAGTTCCCAGTGCAAGGGGTTGACTGGTATTGGATGGAGCCGATGTCCTTGCTGCACGCTCTGTTTAGGAATAGGTTCAGGTCCTGTCTATGTGGAGAAGCTAGAGGTTTTGGGGAGATGGTAGCAGTGAGTCTGTCCCAAGCACAGCTCCGGGCCTCTGCTGCCAGCCCTGTGGTTCCCCACGCCAGACTGGAGTCCTCACATGCTCTCTGGCCAAACCAAGGGAAACTCAACCTGAAATGAGTTTGTTCCTAAATTTTGTTGGCCAATGGCAGGAGCCCAGCGTGGCTCTGGGGTTGAACAGACTGTTTTGTTTCACCTGGAAGGAAACCTTGCACTTGATTTTTTTTTTTTTTTTTTTTTTTTAAATGAAGCCTTGGCAGCGTGTGAAACCAAAGCCTTGTTTTGAAGCCAAGCCTTCTTGCTGCCTGGCATTGCCCACGCCCCAAATCCTTGGCCAGCTTCAACCCAGGCTTGTAAATCGGTGGCTTTCTGCAGTGCTGTGGTTTTCTGTTTGAATAAAGTAATCCCGGAAAGACGGAGAAATTTCTTCGCTCTGCTCCCTGTGGCAGCAGCTGGGAGCAGGTGAGTCATAGAAAATGAGGATTGGAAAGGACTTCAGGAGGTCACATCTAGTCCAACCCCTGCTGAAAGCAGGACTATGAATGGCGCTTGCCCCAGGCGGCTGTGGGGGCATGGTTGTGCTGGCGGTGGCAGGGAGCTCCCACAGTCGCCCGTGGCACTGTTGGTGGCAGGGGATGGGGCAGGTGAATGCCAGCCAGGGGTCGGTGACCACCTGCAGGTGGTGCCGGCGGCGGCCAGTGGGGATTGCTGACCGCTGGTGGTGTTGGCGGTGGGGTGACAAATGGTGACCGCCTGCAGGCGCTGCCGACAGTGTCGTCGGTGCATTTTTGCAGGCGGTGCATCGCCATGCTCAGGGGGTGCACGTTCACCTGCATGCACCCTCTATGCAGCGCCCCTGAGCAGGACCATCCCTCCAAAGAAGCTCCGCTTTTCCTCCGGGTGATCTTAGCAAGCTTGCCCTGAATCTCTTGGGAACAGGTACTAGATGCTGGAGGTTTGTGTCAAACAGAGTATGCCGTACGACATCCTGCTTCGTTGTGAAAGGCGAAGGAGCTGGGATAAGTCTGTGGAGGGGTGGGATGGGGGAAAGGCATATTCTGGCTCTCCATCGGGGATGTGTGGATCTGTGTGCTGTCCCCAGGGTGCAGGGCAGAGTAGATGGTGTCTGGTATTTCCCAGGTTTCTGGGCTTTGCTGGTTGCCAGCTGGGGCCAGGAAGGAATCTTTTCCCCTCCTGTTGCTACAGGTACTGGGGGTTTTTTCTTTGCCTTCCTCAGCAGCACTGTGTGTTGGCTGCAGCCCAGGCTGGGGATGGGGACTGGGCTGTGCCAATGCTCTTGCTGGGACCAAAGCTGGAGGGTCTTGCCCCTACGCTCACGGTCAGACTGATGCTGCATTGGGGTCAGGAAGGAATTTTCCTCCCTGGTCAGATTGGTACAGGTTGCGGGACGTTTCCACCTTCCTCTGCAGCAGGGGCACGGCCTCTGCCTGGGATCTCTGGAGTGTATTTTAACCGTTGGCAGTGGCAGGATGTTGGCAGGGCCCCAGCGCTGCCCATGGTACCTGGGGCAGGGGAGGGTGTTTGGTGGGGGTTTGGGGCAATGGGCCTGGCAGTCGTACGGTTTCAGGACTAGGTTGGACAATTGCTTGTCTGGCTCAGATGGGACTAGACCTGCCTGGAGCAGGGGGCTGGACTAAGGGTGACCCTGAGGGCCCTGCCAGTCTGACTGCTCCATGACTGTATGTACGTGGGATGCATGTGTAGCCCTCCCTGCCCTGTTTTATGTCTGGAGCCCGTGGAGCAGAGGGCAGGTCAAGTGGAAGTAGCTGGGCAGGCACCTCCTCTGCTTCAGCGCACGGTCGGAGGGCAGATGTGGGCTCAGAAGGAGGCTGCGAGTGCAACCATTGGACCAGGGACTCTGCCCTCCCCCCGGGCTGCGCTGGGGCTGGGGGTCGGGGTGCTGGCGCTGGGATGTCTCGAGGGCTTGTGTTTCTTCCCCTTTTTGGTTTGGACCTGGGAACTAGAGGGAGCTGCGAGCAGCTGAGAGCCCTGGATGCTGACGCACCACATGGCACAGGACACGGCTGGACTCCAGCCTTGGGGAAGTCCTCTGTCTCCTCTCCCAGCTGCACCCGTCTGGGGGCAGACTCCGGCCCTGCTGGGCCCCTTCCCCGGTGCCTATGAGCCCTTTCCCTATCAGAGCAAGTGTGTGAGAGCGCCAGGCTCCCCGCAGGGCAGGGGAAGGGTGGGAGGAGGGGGGCATGGGGGGCAGAGTGCGGGCACTTTGGTCCAGCCCTGCCTCTCCATGGGTGGTCAGTGGGGGAACCTCTGCCCTCACTCAGCACAATCCCCCATCCCTTTTCATCCCCTTTCCCGGTCTCTGGGGAAAGTCCCAGACAGTAGAGCAAGCGGCAGGACCAACCAGTCCTGATTCCCCCACCCAGCTTTGCTCCCTCAAGGCCCCAGCATGTGCTGGGGTCGGTCTCTCACTGAAGCACTTGGTCCGGGCAGGATGCAGCTGCTGATCCCAGATGTCCCGACATGGAGACAAACCCATAGTGGGCATGAGCCTGTCAGAGCCAGCGGGGAGCTGGGCCTGGGTGTGATGGGCGATGATGGGTGCCTGGGTTAAACCCAGGGTGGAATCAGAAATCTTAGAGCAGCGGGGCTGGAAGGGATCTCCTGAGGTCACATCCAGTCCAGCCGCTGCCTGAGGCAGGATCAGCCCTGTCCAGACCATCCAAGACAAATCCAGCATCTAAAGTCTTCATAAAACTACCATCAGCCCTGACACGACACGAGACATCACACCTGCCCCTGCCCTAGGGAAAGCAGGGGGACCGCAGCAGCCAACATCCTGCTGCATGTGAAAGGTTGTTAATAGATGCTCAAGAGCTCCCAGGCCGAGGCCATGCCCCTGCTGGAGAGGAAGGCAGACCCCCCCTTAGTCCATACTAATATGAGCAGGGGGGAAAATTTCTTCCTGACCCCAAAAACAACATGGGTCTGACCCTGAGCAGGGGGTCCAGGGGCTGGATGTTCCCGGCCAGCCTGTGCCACGCTTCCCTCGTGCCTCCCTGCTGAGCCCCCTACCCTGACGCCAGGGAGTGCATCGTGTTGGTTGTATGGGTCCAGGGGGTGCTCAGGGGAGGGGAAATGCCCTATTGCCCCTGTGGCCTGTGCCTGTGGGCTGGGGCTTCTTCAGATCTCATCTCTGCTTCCCGCTCCCCACAGGCCGGGGGGGCCGGCGGGGCAGGCCTGTTCCTGCTGTGGGACACGGCCCTGCTCCCAGCAGGGATTAGCCACGCGGGGCAGGTCGGGGCAGGCAGGAGCTTTCGTTGGGCCTGGAGCCGAGGCAGCCGGCACTGGGCAGGTTGGAGCTACGGTGCAGGGGGAGTTCACTGCACGTTGCTGGGGTGTGGAGGAGCCCGCGGGGCCGAGCAGGGCTGCGTGTTGCAACTGAGCCCAGCTTCCCCACAGGTGATCTCCCTCCCTGTTGTACACGCGTGTGCCACCTCTTGCATGTGCTGCCTTGGTGTTCACATGGCACATCTCATGGGGATCACACTGGGGCTGTGATGCCAGGGTGATGGGCACAGTCAGCTCCTCTGTTGTTGGTGCCTGGTTTACTCAGCGGCTCCCTGTAGCTGCACGTTCTCCTGTCCTGGCCTGCCCGTGTCTCACTACAGTGCTCATGGCGCGGCCAGCCCTATCCTGGTTTAGAGGCTTGAGAGGAAGGGGGTAAGAGCTTGGGTGCATGTAGAGTGACTCTCCCAGGGAGGTACTGGGGTGCCTGGAGTCTGGGGTCCCCTCTCTGGCTGCCCAGGAGCTGGTTCGAAGCTCTAGACAGACCCGCAGGCTCCCTGCTCCATGCCAGGTGCCAGTGCGCCCAGCAGCAGTGGCAGTACCAGGCTGGGCTTAACACCATCCAGTGGCCACAGAACAGCCGTGGCCTTTGGCGTTACCGGGGCCCCAAGAGCTGATAAGCCCCCCGGCTTGGTGGTGCACGGGCCTTGTAAACAGCCTCCTGCCTAGTGCTGATAGGGATGTGGTGGGGCCGGCAAGCCCTGTGGGCTTGTGCTCAGGGCTGATAACTTTTCCCTCTGAACACTGCGTGTGTTCCTCGGCGGGGCTGGGGAGGGAATTGCCTGCGGAGGGGCCCAGACGCCCGTGCCAGCTCCTCTCCTGGGCACATGCATGTGCCTGCGCCCCACACACATTCCTTTGCAAGTGTGCATGTGCAGGCCCAGGCGTGCGTCACAGCATTAGCCCCTTGCCCAGGATGGTCCTCTGAGGAGGCAGGGGGATGCCCCCCATCCTGGCAGCATCACTGTGGTGGGGGGTTGTGGGGGGGTGGGGGGCAATGCTGGATGCTGGCTAACGAGGTTGCAGGGGCAAGGCCTCCCTACCCAGGCCTCCTGCCCCACGTTGCACTGTCTTGCTCCAGTGGGCTGCCCTGGTGCCTTGAGGTCAGGCAGGAGCATGGCAGGGCAAGACCTGCCTGGTCTAGCAGCTTGTGGCATGGGTTTGCTCTTCGGAGCAGACACATGGCATCTCCCCTGGCATCTTGGTCCCATCTGTAGTGGCTGCTGGTAGCCAGGCTGGGCTGGGTGTAGGAGGAGGGTTTAAGGGGGTTTAGGTTGTAGCCATGTTGGTCTAAGGATATAGGCAGACAAGGTTCCTTGGGTGAATTTGATATCTTTTATTAGACCAACCCAAATGGTTGGAGAATAGTTATTAAGCAAGCTTTCGGGTTCAAAAACCCTTCGTCAGGCTAAGGAAGCTGCAGCAGTTGGTGTGTGCTCGATGGAATGAAAATGGAGGAGGGTTTGAGACTTTTAATGTGCTTCCCTTTGACCGGGGCAGCCCGGAGCACTGTCTACAGGACTGTTCACACCCAAAGCTGCAGGAGGACTCATGCCAGGGACTGGAGGAGCCAGGGTGCCTGGGCTCTGCCCCCAGCCCTGCCGTAGACTCTCCACATGGCCTTGGGCATGTCCCTTCCCTGTCGCTTCTCTGTGTCCCCACTGGCATGGCTCTGGTCTCTTGGGCGCGTCCGCGCTCTGTGTGGCCAGCCTTCTCCTGGTCTCTGAGCCCCTGGCCTGGGGCAGGTGGCTGCCATGAGTAGTTAATTATTGCCTTTCCCAGGAGCTACAAATGAGGCTGTGGAGGTGGGGGCGGGCTTCCATCTCTGCCAAGTTAGGGCACCTCCCTTGGTGCCAGAAACTGTGGATGAGGGTGAGGGGGGGTGGGCAGCAGCCTGTAGGCTTAGTTCTCATTCCACTGCTAATTGTGACCATGGCCCCTGTCTCAGTTTCCCTGGAGGGTCCGTGAACGGACACATGTGACCGTCGCCTGTTCCTGCTGCCCCCTCAGCCGAGAATCCTGAGCCTTGCCATGCATCCTGGCAGCTCCCTCCAGCTCCGCACGCTGTGCTGTGGAGGCACCCCCAGGCTCCTGAGGCCCCAGGGACAGGGCGCGGAAGCTGGATGGGGGAGCTCAGAGATCCCGGCAGTAGTTGAGGGGAGTGGCACTCAGTCTGGTGGGCCACAAATGAGCCCTTTATGGGCTGTATATGGCCCAAAGTCTGGCCCGTGCACAGCCCTGGTGTAGACAGCCCTGTTCTGCGTAGGCAGGGAGAATCGGCCTGGGGACAATCCCCTGCCCCTGCCCTGGACGGCCTCTAGCCCAGCAGCTCTTCCCCAGGCCCACTCTGGCTCTGCTCGTCTGCCTCTGGCTTCTTGGGTCTTTTTCTGCTCGTCTTTCTGGACACAAATGTTCAATGTGTTGGAGTCGTGCACCTCCCAGCCCTGCGCTTTGCTGGGGTCATGCGTGTGCTTTGGGGTGGGGGGGCATGTGATGGCTGTATGTCCATAGGGGAGCTTCAAGGAAGGGCTGCAGCAGCATGCGGTCCCCATGGGAATGATTCCCCCAGCATGGGGAGAGATTGGAGGTTTCCTGTGAGCAGCTCTCCCTGCCGCCAGTTTGGAAAGGGGGGTGGCAGTGGGGCTGGGATAGAGGGGGTGTTATTTAGTGGGGCTGGGGCCTTGGGGGCAGGTCATGCTGGCTGTCATGCTGGGCACTCAGGCGCTTTCTTTTCTTGGGAGAAGAGAAGACTGGAGGATGGGCCCATCTGGGGGGAGCCTGGCCTGGCTGGTTGCAGCCCACAGCTCAGCAGAGGGGCCTGGGCTGAGCCTGGCTCCCACGGAGCCCGAGGGGCTGCAGGGCTGGGCTTCTTGGAGCCAGGAAGCGGTGGCCCAGCCGGGCTGGCCCCGCCGACATCCCCCATGCAGCCGCGGTGCTGGCCTGTGCAGCACAGGAAGCTGCCTTTCCTGTTTTCCAGTGCAGCAGAAAAGCATCCCCTCCCCCCCACCTCTGAGCAAGTGGGGACATCACAAGCCTGAGACCAGGCAAGAGCCCAAGTAGACTTTGCCTTGAGACCATTTGGCAGATGGGGAAACTGAGGCACGGAGTGGGGATGTGAATTGCTGGTCGGGGGCTCAGCAGGGAGTCGAACCCAGGTGTCCTGCATCCCGGCCTGGGGGGGCTAGACCACGGGGAGTCAGCAGTTTTCCATGTGGGGAGGGAAGTGTGTCGTCCCCCCTACTGCTAGGCAAAGGTCAGGAGGAGAGTGAGGCCAGGCAACAGATGGGAAAACTGAGGCACTGTCCCCAGGGCCAGGTCTATTCACTGGGTCTGGATCCTGGGCAGCTGGGCAGTGACCACTAGGCCTGCTAGTTGCATACCTGATGTGCAGCCCTTCCCAGCAGGATCACATGCCCCCTGCTTGCCCTTACTGCAAGCCGGGGACCCAGGAGATCGGGCAGCCAGGCGCTGACCCTGCCTGCTACACTCGTGACCCGCCTGGGCCTCACTATGGGGTGACCCCATGCCCCGCCCCACCGCCCTGTGGCTTTGACCACATCTTGCTCACGGGAGACTTCTCTCCCCCTCTGCAGCCCCCTGAGCAGACCCACGGCTGAGCAGGGACCCCCAGACTCTGGGTTCTCTGCAGAGACAGGCCTGCTGTGCCAGGAGCGCCTGCTGCTACCAGACCCCCGGTCCCCACAGCCGCCACCACAAGGGGGAAGCCAGACGGGTTCCTGGTGTGGACAGGAAGACCTGGGGAATAGGCGTGAGGTTTGGGGACAGGTCTAGAGAAGTAAAACCAAGGCTACCTTCCGCCTTGGAGCAGCTTCCCGGTTTCTCTGCTCCCAGCAGGGGTGACCCCTTGCAGCCTCTGAGCTTTGCACAGGGTCCTGCCCCAGGCTGAGGGTCTGTGGGTGTCTCCCCACCTTTGCCAGGGAGCCGGCCCGGCTCATCGGATCCCCCTGGGGATGGATTGGAGATCTGGGCCTAGTGCTGGAGCTGTCCACAAGCCTGCTGGCCCTTGTGGATGGGTCTCCCCGGCTCGCCCCAGCGCAGGCAATGCGCTGTGCACCAGGGTTCATGGCCGCCTCCGGGGGACACCAATGGCCATGGCTGATCACCTGATGGGATCAGCTCAGCTTGGGGGGACCTGGAGATGTGGAAGGGACTTGCAGACAGGTAGTCTCTGAGCTGGTCTTCGGGGGTGCTGGGCATGTCACTGGAACTTGTGGGGCCAGCATCTATGGTCCCAGCCTGTCTGGCCTGTCCCCGGCAGGGCTTGGGGGTGCTGGACAGAGCGGGTCCGGCTGGTGGCTGCAAAGAACAGCGTGGTCCACTGCACCCTGCAGCACCCCTCCATGGTGGCTGCACCGGGTTTGGGGGGCAGCAACGGACCTGATGTGGCTGTGGCTTCGGGGCCTGATCCTTACTGCATCAAGCTCCTGCCAGCGCCTGGGGAGGGCTCTGCTAGGTTATGGTCTGGGCTCACCCTGCCTCTCGCCTTTCCTATAGCTATAGGGTCATCAAACCCTGGCCCTATCTGGGTGTTTCCCCAGGGCAGGGACTGTCCTCGGTTGCATGGGTTTGCGCAGTGCCTGGCGCTGGTCTCATTGGAGCCGAGTTCATGTCCCTGTGGGTCCGGGCGGGTGGGGGTCTCCTGGAGGGAGGTGGCTGATGTGGGGTGGGGGCTGCTGAGGCTGGAAGCTGGATCCCCTGTGGCTGCCAGGCTGCTAATGGGGCAACTTGGGGACCAAGCACCCACAAGGGTCCTGAGACAAGAGGATGTAACGGGGTGAGGCGGCTGCTGATCTGTGCCTTCCCCACCCATGAACAAACCTCCCCAGCAGCTGCTTGTGAGAAGAGAAACAACAAGGCAGCCAGGCTGCTCAGCGGGGTGCGAGCGGCTTCCTGTTGTCTGCCTGGAGGGGGCTGCGGAGGCCTTATCTACCAGCCCGTTGCCGTGCGGTCTGGGGGGAACTGGGGCTTGCAACATGGGTGCCTGTGAACGCAACTCTCTCTGCAGCTGCGACCTTGCACAACAAGCCTGTGTCCTGTACCGAGAGGTACCAGTGCCCGTCGACTGCTCCTGCCCCTGCAGCCGGCTTGGGACTGACGCTGGAAATTCAGGCCTGTCTGTGCTGGATTTTCCCCCCTGCCTCCACCTGCATGCCCCCCCAGGGCTGTTTCCCAGCTGGTTGCAGCCTTGCCTGATGCTATCTGGGAGATCACGGTGCCAGGTGGGGATTTCCAGGGAACCAGAGAGGCGCTCTGGCTTTTCAAGCCCTTGAAATGCCCTGGAATGAGGGAGGAGACAGTGTTAAAGGTGCCAGGCCCTGTCATGGGACCTGGGACCGCCTGGCAGCAGGGCAGGATGCGGCCTGGGAGCAGGGCACCAGCCCTTCCTGCCCTGTGCTGTGGCTCCAAGCTGAGACCCTCCTGCTTAGCCCAGCTGTCCCCCTAGCCCTGTTCGCATCCATAGGGTAGGGGGGCAGTGCATCCCAGAATGCACTACTCTCCCAGGCGCTGTCCCAGTCTGATCAAGGAGCTGGGAGCACACGTTGGCTCCTGGGGGGCACTGGGGTAGCAGGGGTGGGAGACAGCGAGGGTTTTTTTCAGCCGAAATATCCATTTTTGGGGGGAAAAGAGTCCAAAATGTTGTGCAGAAGGGAGTTTTTGCTGCCTTCTGCCAGTGGTTCCTGTGTGGAGGGGTGTCTCAAGCTCCTAAGAGCAAGGCAGATCAAGAGCTATATGTGCCTTGCCCTGTTGGCCACAGAAATGCAGCCACCTCTGGTGTGGAACTCAGCCCCTCGCACAGCCCCCAGCAATCTGGAGAGGCCTGGCTTGATCTTTCCAGGTGGATACAAGAGGGGCTGGGGCTGGCTGGGCTGCTACGGTGCCTAACGGGGGCAGAGTCACGGGCTGTGGGGCTCAGCCGGTGGTTAGTTCAGGTTTGTCTTTCCACGGCGGGTCCCGCCCAGGCGCGTGCTGTGTGGCGGTGATTGGCAGGCCTGGCTGATGGCATCTCTTTCCTG